AAATCAAAATAAAAAATTTAAAGAATCAGCTACAAGAACAAATGATAATAGAGTTGAAATTCAGAATATATGCAATGCATTGCATAAGAAAAATGAGACATTGTATAAGAAAAATAGTGTATCACATAAGGAAAATAAGGCTCTTGTTGAATGATGAAATTCATAATTTTCTAATAAACAAAAGCATATTGAAGTTATTGTTAAAATAGCTAAATTAGAATGTGTATTACTATTTGATAATGTAGAATCATTAATTAAGAATAATAATAGGTTATTTATAAAGAATCTTATAGTATATACTTCACAAAAATGGCTTGATAAGCATAATTAAGTGGTTGTTAAGTTTGTTGAAACTTTAATTCAGAATAACCAAGTTAGTTCTTCAAGCCAAGAAAAGATTTTTAAAACTGCTATTACAATCAATTCGATATATAGTGCACAATATAGAATTATATATCAGAAATTCTTTTTGCACTTTTAGCTATCAAATATTCAATTGTATAATTAAAAATAATTATGACTATTAATAATTAATCAAGAACTCAGGAAGCTATTATCAGTTTCAAAAATGGCAAGAAGAACTGTCAGAGTATGAAGAACTATTACCTAGTGGCCTTTTATTTCTTGCATTTGACAATGTGCAAAGAGGGCAAAAAAACTACTTTGATCAAAATTCAATATAACAATTTTTCATATTATAACTAGTTTTGTTGCTTTTAACTTGTCATCACAAAATGCAATTCAGCATACCAGTCTGCTGTGGACATATAATTCTCTTAATAGATTACAATATGAAGAACCTTTTGATGTTAACTCTCAAATGCAAGAAGCTCTTGACAGAAAATTATATCTTTTTTTGTTTGAAATTCTTAATTTATTGTTTAAAGAAAAACTATCCTTTACTAATGCTATTGATTCTCTTATTTTATCTACAGAAACCAATATTAGGAGCATTAAAAATGTCCTAATTGTTATTAAGAAAATATTGAGAATTGTAAACAAACATGTCCAAAATATAAAACACAGCTTCTTACAATCAAAGAAATTCAAAAAAAAAATAATTGAGATGAAAAATATTAACAATTTAACCAAACAACTTATTTTTAGATCTTACAATTCAAATGATGAATTCAGTACTTCATCAGTTCCTCAGATTAGTTATACTGAAGACCTAGTTGCTAATCAAGAAGTTAATATTCCAGAAATTTACATTTCTAACCTAATTAATATAAACTCTAACTCAATTGTAAATGTTAAAAAGGTTTTTTATTATATTAAAACAATATTAGGTGTTAAGTATAAAGTTCACAAATAGGTTGCTATAGTATGTAATAGTATTCTATACCATCATGCTATGAAGTTAAAAGAAAAATTTTCCTGGTTAGTTCTTATACCAGGGCAATTGCATGAAGAAATGAACATGCTTTATGCATATGTAAAACTCAATTAGTAAATTAATACTTTATTAAAATATTGCAATTCTTATTTTATATATATAGGCTAATGTTGATCACTCTTTCTATTGTAATTGTGACCAATTGGAATTATACATAGGTGTTAAAATATAAATGATTTACAGCAGACAGTATGGTAAAATGTTTTTAATATTTTTGCTATAGTACTTCAAAATGCTATTTGGTAAAATTTCATAATTAGATTTAACAAAATTATTTTTACCTGTCAAATTCAGAAATTATTTTTGTCTGCTGAAATTATTAAAAGTGTTAATATAATATGAGTTTGTTTAAATTTTTTAATTATTATTATGACTAATTGTGATTTACATAATTCATATTTGCTATTCAAAAATAATTTTAGTATACCAAAATATTTTTAGTATTAAATAATTTTAACATATCAAGTTATTTACATTTTAGACAGTTAAAAATAATTTTAATGCTATATTTATGCAAGTGCAAAATAAGTTAAATATCTATATATAATTTTAATTATTTTTTAATGAATTGAAAGTTTTATTTTATTTATACTTTTAATTTTTATATTATTGGAGAGATCATTTTAAAATGATTTGCCATCTGCCAAGATTATCAAACAGAAAACCAGCTTTTATATTTCAAAAAATATATAGATCATCATAAGTTCTAGGATTCGATTTGTAATATATTTTGCCAAGCAATAATCATAGAGCTTATGTGGCCATATATAAAAGATTATGCTGATTCTTCAGTAGAAGGTTATTTAAATTGGGCTAAAGAACAGCAGAATTTGCTTTATTAAATAAAATATAAACAAACATTTGTTTATTTTCAAGTGATTCTTAATTACTAAAAAGCTATTAGAACTAATGATTTTTTTTAAAAAAGAGCTGCTAAAAGAGCATTTTTCCAATTTGGTTAACAAGACATTATTCCATCTATCATCTAATTAAAGTTGCTGATGAAATATAATTGATAAGGCTTTATCCAGAAGTACATGAAGTGATAAAAAAAACTTGCATCATATTGAGATTAGGAATTCGCCAAGAGTTGAATGTGATTATAAAAAAGATTAACAAGATGTTAAAGTCTATAATTTCACCTGTATCACAATATTATCATTAAAAAATTGCAGTTTGTAATTGTAAAAAATTTTTTGAGCTATTATAAGCAATTGTTTTTTGGTTTTTTTTTTTTTAAGCTAAGAATTTTAATTAATAATAATATTTTTAGCTTAGAAATAATTTATTTAAATCAATGAGGTATAATAATATTCAAATGCAAAGACCAAGAAACTAACCAGAATTGACTATGAAGTATCGAAGGTTTTGAACATATTTAAAAAGTTGTGAATTTATTAATCTAATTAATACAAGAAGTGTTTGTTGAAACTTAGAAAATGAGCAGGAATTGAGTAAACAACTAAAAAATCTTACAAATTTAGTAAAGCAATCTTAACAAAATTATATAATTAAGATATTTTTTAATAAAATCAACATTTTTTTTAGACTAATTCTGATTATGAAGCAAGAAGCAGATGTACAGAATGATAAAAAAAATATAAACAAAGCAAAAATCTTATTAAATATAAAAACACTTTTAGAGCTATGTGAAAATGTGCAAAAAAATGTATCCTAGGTTAAAATCAAAAACCAAAAGCAAACTATTAAATGTATTAGAGGTAGTAAGGTATATGCTTGATTCGAATAATAGATTTAGTGATTAAGATTATTCTGAAAATTCTTAAAAATTATATGATTTGTATTT